GCCGTATGAGTATACGTTGCCCAGGTTGCACCACGTGGAGTAAGTCTATCACACACCCCATAATTAATAAAAAATAGCATTTTGAAATTGAAGCGATAATTCAATCATAATGACTTGATTCTACACAAACAATTTCTGCCATCCACTCACTTAAGTTCACCCACCTTTGATGACCTCACCTTAGCCATGTAAATGGAGAATAACCTTTCTTTACAGCATTTACGAATTCCCACTCCAAGATACTAAATCAATTCATCCGAGGGGAGAAATGATTGAAATTCAAAAAATCAAGCGAAACGTAATCTCACTTGTCAAACGAAGTTAACTTTCAGACAGGGACGATAAGCGACCTGTGATCACCGCGGAACAATAGCCTTAGATAACTCTAAATGAACATTTAAGAGCAACCATGATTGGCACAGAAATCACTTACATGTCTCTACTTCTCATCACTAAACGGAAAGAAATTCAAAAGAAAAAAGAACAGTATTTGAGAAATGCAGTTCTCTTTTACGTTTAAGGAATTAGATAGCTCACAAACCCAGATCATACCCCAAATGCTAATTTAAACAAGCCAACAATGCAAACTGTTAATCAAAGAGTGCGTTATTTTTTTCATTTAGTCTCATCTCCACCCCGAAGACGACCTTGAAAATGTAAGATTCATTCACCAACCTATGCACAAATGAACACGTAAGCGAAACTCGCTTCCTCCAAGCATGACCTTAAAAAAGACGCTGCGTTTTAGGCCATAACCAACGGGTGTCGCGATCGGTAACCGCATAAACACATAGCATGAAAAGGTTTGGCAGTTGGTCTAATTGACCTTGAGGCATTTCCATGGAATCACACTGTTATGAGGATGGTGACTGCTACTAAACAACTGCAGATGCGACGTGTCTAATCGTGAGACTGCTCTCTATAAGTGAGGTCAAAATAGGTGCTTTGTGTGAACTTATTCAAAGACAATTATACAATAATAGCACAAGTAAAATAAGCCGGATGATCCCTGGCTAACAAAAGTCGGGGAGAGTATGAAAAAGAGTATCGCATGCTTAAATAATTATGAGAATTTCAGTGAACTGACCTAAAGGGAGATATGTGAATTAATTATTAAGACCATTTGAAACTGCTGCTTTCCCTAAATAAATAAATGCGCCCCCGGGAAAATCAAACTTCCATACATTTTCACTTTTCAGGGAAATGCTTTAAAATTTTTCCTTTCCTGAGCACATTCTGGTCCAAATCGAATCAATGGCACGAATTAGACATTGATTACTAACATTTCATGAGACGCCCATAGAGCGCCTTGATTAGGGAAAACCAATTGCGAAATCGATAACGAGGGGGGGGGGGGGGGGGGTTCGCAATGGATAACTTGATCGTGATCCGTTGGAAAAGAATATTCTAATATACACACACGAAATCCGTGAACCTCAATGTAAACAACAGTGGAAAAGGCTACCATTTTAAAGTACTACTGGAGTATAAATGGGTAAGGTGTGCGTCCAATTCAAATAAATACAAAATTAACAATCACCATAAAATCATCAATGAAGAACGCAAAAAAGAATAAGCAGGAAACATGACCCACTTATATCCCCTCAAGATCATGACATGGGTTACTAGCCCATCCAAGTGCGGGGCGCTCTTAGGCGCAAAAGTAACGATTTTTTGTTGGAACAATGAAAATTATAACTGAACAGGTCAATCGAGGAGAAGAAAATATCCTGGAGCCACTAGTATAAGAGACATGCAAACTACCAACCTTCTTGTTGTCCAGATTTAGACAATACGATTTGTCCCCACCAACCACCCCCTCCTCAACAACTGGATGTGCCTGAATGAGCACTGAAGTGGTCGGCTTACATTTAGAAAACAAATTTTTCGATAGGCATCCTTCATAAAAGAAGGGGTATGGCATTGGCCACTAATTATATTTCCACTTCGGTGTGTGTGATAGACTTACCTCCACGTGGTGCACCCTGGGTAACGTATACTCATACGGCTAAAAGGTCTATTAACTGGCAGTTGACTTCTGACTTCAAACTACCGTCACCCCACTGTATGCCATATTCAACCCCATCACAGTACTCATCTTACCTTTTCTCTGCCTTTTTGTCTGTCTCTGTTACATCTGTGAATCATTATTCTGGCCCCTTCTCCACTTTCCGTCACTTTGATGTTCCTTCTTCTCTCGGTGAAGCCCAAAGTCAGCTAAATGGCTAATGATAACTATCAGAACGCCTGCCAATTGAAATAAATAAATATTTCCACTTCTGATATGCCTTCTCGCTGAATAGATTTGAATAGGTCATCTTCATCAATTGGTACACTACTAACCCGCATAAAGAGGAACAGATAAACACTCCTGACAAATCAACACAATGGGCATTCGCTTTGACACACAGGTTGGAGAAAAACGCTTGCCAAACAGTATTCATAGGCCTCACTTGTAACAGACTGGATGAGAATTAAACACCAGTGACCAGATTTGCGGCGATCGGTGGAATAGACAAGGCTCGTATCTAGTCTTACAAGTAGGCCATGGAACATTGTCCTAGAAATCCCCACACCCCTTATTTTTATTAGCCACCTAGAAGTAACCGCAAAACACAGCCCTATTTGCGCCTTAACAGAACGCGAATAATGTCAGTCACCTTTAGGTTAGCTTATAAATAGGTACAACGGATTTAACGACTTAACGGCACAGGGTGATTGGCTAAAGACATCTCATGCCAACAGCAGCCCCGAGAGATGTTCACAGGTCAGTATAAACTTTAAATCCTAGCAGCACATCACCTACTGTTAAAATAAAGTGTTGATTTACAATCGGTAGGGGTAATTTAGTACGCAGACCGCAATTAATACACTGACTCCTTTTGTAAGCCAGTCTCAGTATAGACAGGGCCCATCGGGTTGTGCATAACGCGACATGGCACACTGGCGCGAATTACACGCATGCACCACATCCGAAAGCTTAACATGTTACTGGCCAATATAAAACCGGTCAAGCATGTGTATGACGAATGACCTTGAAATTTATCAATTGGTGATGAACCATGCTATTAAAGAGCGTTGCTGTCGAGTGCGAAGCCAGAAGCCATTATTGCACCATTTCTCACGATATCCCGACCTTCGTTAAATGGAATGGTGCGTGGGTGGACACATCACCTCTTTGTGCGAGAGAGAACGTGTCACCTTCATGCAAACTTGACGCCCACACTTCTTAAACACGTGCAAAGAATGACTAATTTGACCACACCATCAATTACTCTAGACCAGAACGTCAACTCATTCATGTCCACCCTTGCCAATACAGAATTCATTGAAGGAAACTATTTTAGTTCTCATCCTTAGCGCAGTAGTATACATACAATCCATTGTTTCGGAACAAAAGAAAATGGAAATGCCATAACTCTAATTGAGATACGATTAATCTTCATTTGGAACTTACCAACCAGCTATTAGAGAAAGCGTAGATATGTGCAAATTTCCTAGTCAATAAATTGGCAGGCACCTATGCTCTGCCCACACTAGTGATTTAACTTCTGCAATTAAAATGAGATTCATACATTCAAGCATGCTAGTAACGCATCATTAGATTCAGAAATACTATTTTTAGGATCGCTTTGCTATATTTGCCGAGTAACGCCCATCGTTTTACAGTCACGTGCTAGAATGACACCATCTTTAGCAAGTCTACTGCAACCGCCCACCCCAAATCTGCGTGCCAATATCTCCAAAGAAAATATGATAACGTTACTAGAAGGAAATTACATCGACGAAAAACGAATATCTAATGGAAACTGGAAAAGAGAGGGAATAGTGACAATTCTCCACCCAATTGACTTAGAACTTCGGGAAGGGGAGAGATCATTATGCTTCTGTGCTTACATACAAGGGCCACCTCGATAAGGCATTGTCAGAATGCCCACTGAAGGTCAGAATTTTAGAGAAGGATAAACAGCATCCAGTCTGTTTGCTTTGAATGCGGGGAATCAATTCGTTACACATCTGGCATCACTCAAATTTATAAACTCGCGATGTCGAGCACATCAAACAATTCAAAGCCCAGTAAAAAATACGAAAACGAGAAATAAGTCTTTATTGGGACTCAAATTTAAAACGCAATAGTTAATACCATTTGTGAGTTGGGTAGAGAGAAGTCACAATCTAACCCCCCCCCCCTATCCCACCAATATTTTAAAGTGCGGTTGGCCACCCCCATCACTGAATGTGCACCGAAGAACACGCAATTTCGGGAACCTCGACTCAACAGACGTACTCTAAACTTCCTATTCAGCGCTTTCACATTCTACTTAAAATAAAAAAACCCCTGGTCGTTCCAATTGTATGCCAAATTGTGGTCACCACAGCCAATGAACATGAATGACTAATGCCTCGACGGATAAGATTGAATCACTTTCAATTATTTAAGTTGTTCAATTTAAATAACTAAGAGCGACTTCTGCCGAGGCCTAAATCCAGATTTAAACCCACGATTTAAAGCAGTGTGAACAAAAGGAACCGAAAAATAAGGATTTATTGATTTGAAATCTAGACTACTTAAATAAGTAAAAAAAACTGTCAATAGAAAATATTATAATTGAACACAGACGGGAGGTGAAATAAAACGCATATTTTAACTTCAAGAATCGCCAGGGGTTATATTTATTGCTCCTATTCGGTCTTGACGAAAGTAATTGAGCGAGTAACCAAAACGATAACGAGTTAGATAAGGTAGCTAAATAATAATACCCAAAGCAAATCAAGTTTTCGCCAAACATCAAAAAAGGCGAACATGAAACACAGTGCGCAGTGTTTATCGCGGCTTCACACACGCACGCACACACGCACAGAAAGACCTGGCCACAGGCCAACCAATGAAATCTTACCATCACCTCACTTACCAATCAGCATTTGCTCCAGCACTTCAGCCCAATTGAACATTTCATTAACCGACGGCAAGGCAATTGGGTGCACTGTCTTCCAGCCAATCAGAAGCACCACATTTGACTCTCCATTGAGATGACAACCCGTTTCGAAGCCCGTAATAGCATCTAGAGGAAGAGGTGAACCCACTGATCGAGCCCGACCGGCTGAAACTTCAAGATCATGAACAACTGTGCGTTCAGCCTGATTGCACATCTCCGCGATGGGGTCTGCTACGTAGTTGGAATGAGACTGGGTATGGGGGAGATTGCAGTAGTAATTGGAACGAATTGAGAGACTATGAAACACATTAACTGATGGTTTACTGCCTGAGGAACTGGAAACTGGTTCAAGAAGGGAAGAAGAAAAGGCTCTCTGAGATGTCTGCGAGCCAGAAGATGAGTGTGCACGGAATGCTGCGTGAAAATCTTCGGCGGTTTTGCCGAAATAGAGATGCAGAACACCTAAAGTAGTTTAAAAGGTAATTATGGTTAAGGGTCGATAAAAATGTGATGTAATTTAACTAATTCAAGTTACGTATTTACACAACTGCAAAAAACTAGCTGAAAATTACCAAAGAAAACCAGCCAATGAAAAAAAAACAGATAGCTCCTTATCCATAATTATGGTAACGCTCTAAAACCGATAGGCATAAAGAGATATTAAAGCAGAGAAATTTAGGTCTGATCGAAATTTACCCTACCCATTATTTCTAGAAGCAGTACCTGTATTCTACGGAAACAATTTAGAAGAAGCAAATGATAAGAATGATTCCAAAGATAACAACGATAAAGAGGACTTTGAATAAATCTATTTTAGGGAGAAGAGAACAGCGATTAATTGACAACGATTTAAATGAAAGATAATTCAGAAAGATGTATAAACGCCACACTTCGTAGGAAACAAAGCACTAAAGTGTTCTCGAAGTAAGTCGACGATTACCAACCAGTTGAAGAAAGACAGAAACAGGTAGGTAGACATATTAGGAGATTCTAAATATAGCAATAACCTATTTTTAGCGTAATCAGACAGGTTCGCAAAGAAACACAGCCAAAGGAATTTAAACCAAGAAAGCAATTATTTCCATATCACACTGAATACTATAAATTTAAGAATATCGAAATGTTGCGTAATCTAAATTAATTGAGTATACCTCGCAATCGCAAGTTCAGTAGTTAGCACTGTAAAATGAACATGCTTGGGGTTCTACCAACTACCGCCATATTTCAATATCCGGAAAAAGGAAGTATGCGATAGACTTACCTCCACATGGTGCACACTGGGCAACGTATACGCAAACGACAAAAAAGTCTACCTGACTTCTAACTACCATCACCCCACTGTATGTCATATTCGACCACTTCCCCAGTAATATCTTACATTACCTTCTTCTCTACCTTTGTGTCTGTCTGCCTCTTTTACATCTTTGAAACACTCTTCTGTTCCCCCCCCCCCCTCTCGACTTTTTCTCTTTGATGTACCTTCCCCTCTGCGAAACCTGAAGTCAACTAAAGGGCTAACGATAACTATCAAAACGCCTGCCATTTGATATAAATGAGTATCCGGAAAACGTGTTGAAGTGTACAAAAGATGTAGATGAAAAGTGCGCATAAAAATTGAAAAACAAACGAGTACTTCATGAGTAGTTGCGGAGGAAAAAATGACGCGATCAATCTACAAAAGTAAGATGAAACTAGGATTCCACAAACCAACCTCATTTTAAACAAGGCTTTTTGTGCGACCTTAGAAAATCAGTAGAGAGTTGAAAATGGACGAAAGGATGTCAATTTATAGGCTTCAATCACGAGGAAGCGATGTTAAAAATAGAAAATTACTTTCAGCAGTCATTCTGTACTACGATTGGATATGAATATAAGGACTCTGGGCGTCCACTCGATCAGAATTGCTGTACTAATACCACGAAACTAATTTCCTATTTCTTCGAAGTGGTAGGTTCTCGGTCTTATAACATCATGATGGCCACCAGACTTATTTCCAGTTCATCGAGAATTCAATTTTTAAAATGTTACAACGATCAGTAATTAAGGAAATCCTAGAGTTGGCAACGACAGAGCATACCAGAGAAGTGAGTTGAAGTATGCTTAGAAAAATACACTTTAGGGTCATTAATCTTCAAAACCCTGTCTACAAGCAGAGACTACTGAAGCTTTAAACACAAAAAAAACTATAATAATCTTCTTGAATTGTTTTCAATTTTCACACATGGTATGTCTTACACGAAAATTCTCACTCTGTTTGCTCAATGTATATACCTTATAGAGATACTCAATACTCTGATTTCATTTACTAAAAGTGAATAAATTGGAGCTGGCCGGCTTAACAACCTTGAAATGGGAATTGGCCATCGTATCGTATGGTAGTATATGACGGTAAAAATTCTAGCAAGCAGTAGAAATTTTACCTAGGTTCTCCTTACGGCATTCAAGTCAGTCGTCTCATGGGGAGAAAGTTTATAAAACTCCTCCACGTAATATGAGCAAACAAATGTAGGCTCCAACGGTGATAAGGTATCCACTTCAAACATTAGCAACTAAAAGTACATTTTTAAGATCGATCCAACCCACAAGAGGAGCACAATTAGTTCGTACAAATATGGCACCTTGCATCGAAGTAAATGTATACACACACACACACATAGTGTACCCTAACCACACATATACACAAACACAAATAAAGCACCCATGAGCAATCAACAGCACGTAGCACCACACACATCACATGATACCGCTGTTATTAATCGTCATGTGAGGAGACCAATTGAGCAGTGGGTCAAATCTTACATGCGCGCGCGCGCGAAAAATAAAGCTACTATTCCATCTGGTGATGAGTAATAGCGGGATCATTAGAAAAAAATGGATGGAATAAAGCAAAATGTTTAATTTTGGGGAGATGGGGGTGGGGTAGATCATAGCAGAATGAGCATAGTTGGGTTTCATCAGAAATATACTGCTCATATTTGAGAAGAACAGTTATTATGCAAAGGAGAAAGAGATTAAAACCTCTCACAAGTATGACTATCTGACTACTTTCTGTGATTTGCTACTGAAATGTGGGATATAAGTAGGAGAAGTTTGACAGAAGTTCGAGTGAAAATATATGGACCAAACCATAACACTAGATGACAGTAAGTTCTATGGCCTAATTGGCGACGTTAGCAACACGCTACTGAGAAAAAAGATTAAAAATAGGGGAAGATAACAAACATTAAAATGGGAATGAATCAGATAGTTAATACAATAAAATTGAAGATAATATTGGAATTTGGAATAATTTGTTCCACAATATTGTGCTGAAATAAGAGACAAATCACGCTGGATAGGAGTGAAGTAGGTAAAAGTAGATCTATAGAGAGAGAGAGAGAGATATCCAATCACAAAATATGGTAATGAGACTATAAAAAAAACTTGAGATCCAGGATAACTCAGTGTATCATCACAAGACAAGCTCCTTTTGGAACAAGGCTACTTAATCAAAATTGACTCCTCATTCGAGTATTGCACATCTTTCGTCCATTCAAACAGATATAATTGACTCAAATTATTCATATCAATATAGACCAGGGGTACACTCTCTGGGGGATAGTCCTGATCTCTGTTGTTCTGTTTCCGATGGGTTACAAAAGTCAACTGAAGGCCGATATGCGATGCCACTTGAAAAAAAGAACCATAAACGCACAATTTTTAGAAGGCTTTCGCCTCCAAGACGAGAAAGACACTGAGATGTGGTAGCAAGAAAGAGAGAAATATGTGGCCAACTTCAGTGAGAAAAAATAGAATAGAAGTTACTGAGGAAACATCACTGCCTAAAAGGCCTTTATGAGAAGGTAGATTAAAGACATTTTCCCCATAATGTAATATCCAACTCTGATCGAGGCCCAAGGACTCATTCATGTAAGAAAAATGAGGCCAAATTTGGTGAGTTAGATCATGCGGAGGCAACTGAATTAATAGTAATAAAGCTAAATTTAATTATCTACACGCCAACACAGAGAACAGTGAGAATGTTAGAAAGGCATAAATCGTCAGATTGATAGGCTAGTCAATATGGACTAACACAAGGAGATCAGCGGATTGATTTCATAGAATTATATTATCACTTTTAATTAGACGGACCACTCTAAGAGCCAAGCAGGACTAATCAATACCACGCGCAGATGTTAGGTTACACTGAACTGTTGAGTATTTTAAAATTCGGATCCTTCTAGTATTAAATTCGTTAGAACTGGCTTTCAGAATTGAGACTGACACGCAAATATGATTGTAAGCTGTATAAATTTGATAGGTTGGCACCAAGACTTCAAAATTAGTAATAAATTGAAGGAATTAAACGATATATTGCAACGTGAAGAGACTTTAAGCGCAACAAGCTTGAAGCAATTGCAACTCGGGTTTAAAATTATAAAATTGTAATGGTTTTTAAAAATCTATGTAAAAATTGCGGTTGTCCAACTCATATCTTTGATGAGCATTTAACTAATCACGAAATGATAATAAACGATAATAACACGTAAATTCTAATAAGTAACTACCAAAGTGTTAAGAAAAACTCTATGAATTTTAGTATTTTGTTAACTGAAAAAGGAACAGATTAATTTTATTAATGACACACACATATGAATGAGTTAAACGCACAAACAAAGAAATTACTCAAGCGCTTCTTAATAAGCAGAAAAAATTGAATTAGAAATAAAATATTTGCTCAGATGAAGTGATAAAGGGCACTTAAGTCGAAGACAAGATCACATTTTCAAATGCCCCCATGTTGTTGAATAATAACGATGATCAAATAAACCATTTACCAAATTAAACGAACCTAGGCTACAATTAACGGACAAGCCAAGGGTATATAGTTGACCGATCAAGAAAGTGAAAACAAAATGGGAAACTAGGCTCTTTCACGATGCTAAGGGCCCGCCAAAAAAGATAGTACGGGTGTAGACGAAAAGAGCAATGTCAAGATATTAAAATAGGGCAGGTATTAGATACCATTCTCCATTATCCCCCAATGCTCGACATTACATTTATGCTTACTTACAGCACATACACCAAGAATGGAAAATCAGCTGATCATTCATGTAAACATTCACACGTGCACAAAACTAAGGCAAATTTGGCGCAGAATCCAATGTGAATGCGATGGAGAGCACGTGCGCAAAGCAACAGCCAATTGACATGCGTACATATGGAAATACACACGCACACAGGTAGCCAATCAGAAAAGTGGCCTGTGTGAGGCAGAGGATAGAAACATCGGCCCGTCTCGTATAAGGTCACGTGACTTGAAGACTGCGCACACAAAACAGAGATACTACTTCGCCATAAAATAGACTAATACTCCACACCCCCTACCACAAAGGCGACACCAGATGAAAAGAAGACTAAGTGTACGCCAAAAAACGTTAGTAGCCGAAGACAAAAATCTAAACACATCATACACATCTGTAGTTTCACGTGAGAATAACATAAGGAGAAAGGTATAGGAAAATATCCTAGGAGTTAGATATTCAAGAAGATACAAAAGATCGTAAAAAGTATGAAGGAGAAGAATACTAAGAATAAGACCACGGAACGAAATAGAATAAAAATAAAATATTAGCGTATCAACAAGCAAAAGTAGAGAAAACCCATACACAATATTTGAAGTATCATTGCAGCCCACCAGAATTAGGATAAGAAATTATGATAAAGAATCAAATATCGAAATAAAAACAAACAATGCTTTAAAAACAACTATATTAAAATAAAGCATAATTAGAAATAAATTGTAATCATAAACAAAGTTTGTTAGACAAGAAATTTGAGTTAGATGAAATACGTCCAAAAGCAAAGCGAAGAATGAAAAATATGTTTAAAATTTAAACTCACTGAGGCTTTTTGAGGGAGAGCATAAAACACAATAACGACGTTTCCACTATAGAAAAAAATAATAGTAACAAAAACAAATATATTTACCTTCTTGCCGTCGCGATATTTTACATATCCTTCTAAAACTGGATTCATTCCGATCGGTAGCATAAAAACATTCAAAATCAACGATAAATAAATCCAAAGTGGAGAACGCGTTTAATTTTAAGCTATTGATAGGAAAAATAAAAATTATGACAGAAATCGTCCGAGAAACTCCTCAATTGGAGAATGTGACCAAAATACGACCTTCAGTAAAAATTCTTTGATAGATTAAAACATTTCGCAGTTCTTCTAAATGGGTCGTCAAATTTAATATTTATAGTTGTAGTGATAAAAAATTTTATCTTATTTTGATTAAATTATTCGATTTTCATGAAAGTTATTTGTGTGGTAAATTTGCTCTATTTTAAGTTTCCTTTCTTTGTCGAGTTGAAATCTCCTATCTTTTCGAAACGGTTTTCAGTATCCCTGTGCTTATATTGTGCTAGTTATTCCTTTTTTCAAATCGTCTATCTTTCTCCATTATAGCCATCTATGTTTCTCAATGCGTCAACTCATATTCAATTGAAAACCATCAAGAATAGGAGCACTAAAACTTAAAATAGCTAAAAATATAATTTCAATCGAGGATATTGCCTTGTAAAATAACTGGGACATTTGCAGAGGCATTTTTGAGCTTTAAATTGTTGTTGATCCTTAATGTTTTCCTCTTTGATAAATATTTCCCCAAAATGCTTATAGTATTTATTTACAAGAATTGCTAATTTGTAAAATGTACAGGTAGGCGGCCAAACATACTAAGAGCAACCCATTTATCGAAAAGTAAAATAACGAATCCAAAATTTTTTCTAGTATTTTCCTGATTATGAAATCTTAGTAAATCTTTAGTTCTTTTCATCTTCAATCCATTCAATTTATTCACTTGAATTGTCTTTACCTGTATTTTGAAAGTCCGATATTGTAATTATTAATTCGCATAAATTTTCCTATTCTACTGCTTGAGCCTTGGCACTATCTAATTGTTTTTTGTTACTGAGGACATATATTCTTTTTTTAATGTAGACATTTGATTGAAAATGTCTTACCATAAACTTATAGGGTTAAACATTCTTTTTGCTTTCGTTCGATTTGTGTATATGATTTCGCGCACTAACCTGTAAATTTACTATTTTACTAATTTATATTAGATTAATGATGATTTATCGAAGCGAATTATTAAAATATGATTGAATGTAGCATATAATGTTTTACTTTCTTTTTAAATACTGTTATTATTTCCCTCAACTACCGTTTTGAATTTATTTCAGGTATTTTTAATCAATGTCGCTTTTTAATCATTCACACCAACTAAATCTTCCAGTCCACCCACTTATCCTTTTACCGGATGGTTGGCTTTGTAGCCATGATAATAATGGGCAACAGACGAATGCAGAAATTACTCTTGACCTCATTGATAATCACTGCTTTAGTGCCGCACTTCATTTTGCTATTAATAACCCAATACCACCCATGGTTGGTTCGCCACATCGCCCTAGAGCAGTCTCGTGGATGAATTTAGAAATTAGCCCATTTCTCAAGGACGATGTTGTTGGTGCCGTTTTTCCAATAGTGGGTTGGAAACGCGCCGAAATTCTCAGGCTCGATTCAAATCGGGGGACTGGAGATGACGACGACCCATGTAATATCGAAATGCACCACTGTATGCGTAGTTGGAAATTTCACGAATTGCTAAATCTAAGAGTTGTTATTGCTCTACCTTGGCCAGATTTAATTCCCCATCATGGCAAGTGGGTACAAAAGGAAGATGAAAATATATACATGGACTTAAGTAATTTTTCAATGAAGGGGATTCAGGTAGTTGGTTACTATTTTATGGTTGTTGTGCTTTGTTTAATGTTTATACTATCTTAACTTTTATTGCAGGTTACGGTGCTTCCCAACATTTTTGAAGAACAGACAAGAGAAGTTTTGATTACAATGGTTATTGTAATGCTCAGTGGATTTCTCGGAGGTATTTTTACTGAGTAGTAATAGTAATGCTAATTTTCACAATTAATATGTGTGTATGTATAATAGTATTTCAAATCACCTATCACATTAATCAGCATCGATCAATCAAATGATGATATATATACAAACACCTCATCAGTGTCACTCCAAGTTGTCTTTATTTTGATGAAGGAAATATCTTCTCATAGTGATTTTTGTGAAATAAAATAATCATGATTAATTGAATAATGTGGACTAATATGCTACCACTCGGTTTTATCAAGTTAGACACAATAAAGAGGCCCACATGGTTGAGGCAGAAGGAATAATATATTGTTCCATACAAGAAGGGTACCACAATGCTTTGGTACAATCCAAGAGAAGTGACGAAAATAACTCATCCTCCACTTCCTCGCTGACTTTATGACATTTGTAGAACAAGTGGACTGTAAAATAATGTCTGATTCTTTACAGAGCATTTCGAAATTTCAAAGAACACTCTCGTCAAAAAGAGTTTACCACCATCTTCCAAACCTCCACCTACTAAATTACCTTCAAAATCATCGAGACCTCCAAGACGGGTTTGTCCCACTGCAGGAACTCCGCTCCATCAACTCATCACGTCTAAAACTGCTTCTCCAAGTAACACCACTTTTACCACAAAATATGCTGATCATCTATTGTCCTCAAGAGTATTTGGGGCCCAATTTATGACAATGAACTCATGGCAGGAAGCGACAGTAGGGTTTTTGGGCCTCCTAACTGAGTCTGCAAAGAAAACGGCAAAGTTATTCAAAGAGGGCTTCGGAATATCCGTTCTGTACCACCAAAAACGCCCTCTGTATGTAAATATTCCTATTTTATGGTTACAAGTAATATTCAATAATAATTGTTAAGTGCTTACATAGGCCAGAGTTAAAGGAAATTCGATTCGTGGCGGAATTGCCGGAATTTCTCTCTTCTTGTGATGTAGTAATCCTAATGGATGCTTACAGTGATCGTCAAATGACTCTGTCAAAATACCATAGAGCCCGAACTCCTCTCCGTCAGAAGATCACAAAGCGTTCTCGATTCGCTATACAAGAAGATGATTTTCGTCATTTCAAGCCTACTGCACTGTTCGTTTCCACTTCAACAGTAGAGAATTTTAGTTTCACTGCCCTTGCTGAAGCTCTTCGGAATCAGAAAATTTCAGGAGCAGCCTTTACAATACCACTTGATGGGTGTCTTTCCCCTAATGAGTTACAAGCACTTCAACACTTGAGGAATGTGCTTTCTATAGCGCCTCCATCTACACCCAGATGTACTCCTAATAAACTACGTCGTAAGCTAGCTGGAATGGTACTGCAAGAACTTTTTGAAGGTCTTGGACTACCATTTTTCATCCCAAAAGAGATGGAACCACTTAAGCATGATGACTTTGCGGATTTGAAGACACCCATGCCCTCGAAGAAAACTACTACTAGCAGGCGAAGTAGAGGCTTTTCAATAGCTGCACGGATAAAGGAACACAGATTGGATAGAAGTAAATCTGTCACGCTTTTCTAAATTCTGAATCTGAGTCTCATTGTAATAATAATAATCCGATTTCTGATAAATTTGTGTAAAAACAGCATTATTTGCATGAATGCTTTTCTTTCGATTGGATCTTTTCGTATTTGAAGCAGCAGTATTGGCTATGCAGTGCTGCTATGATTATGCAAAGCACTTACTTAATACTTATTGAGTAGATATTCTCCAGTAAATTATAGGTCTCATTTTTTTTCTTTCTTTCGAACAGGGGCCTATAGTAGCCACTCCTAACGGGAAGTCGTATTCTAGCCACAACATGTTCTGCCTGTATACTACCTGCACAGTCAAACCAATATCAAATTAAAGTGGGTTGCATTTAAATTAGTCTACTGGAAATGTTTGTGGAGTCCATTATGTGAAATCCACCCTCAAATACCTCCCCCCTCCTTTTCCAGAAATCAATAATACTATTCTTGCAAATACATCATGTCTATCCCTCAATATTATTATTATTATATCAAATGGCAGGCATCTTGATGGTTATCATTACCCCTTTAGTTGACTTCAGGCTTCACAGAGAGAAAGGTACATCAAATTGAAAAAAAAGTCGAGAGGGGAGGGGGAACAGAAGAGTGGTTCACAGATAAAAAAGAGACAAGCAGACACAGTGGTAGAAAAAAGGTGAGGTGAGTACTGTGAAAGTAGTCGAATATGACATACAGTGGGGGTGATGGTAGTTTGAAGTGAGAATTCAACTGCCGGTTAATAGACTTTTCGCCGTATGAGTATACGTTACCCAGAGTGCACCACGTGGAGGTAAGTCTATCGCACACCCCTATCCCTCAATATAACTTGTTCGTGAGCTGCACCACGCGGTTAGCAGACGTTTCAATTATTTCTGGGTTTATTAAGTAATAAATTGGCATTTGTAATGAATAGAATAATTCTGTCTGCCACTTACGACTTAATAAGTATCTTATACAGCACACACCTAGGGACTAGTATAAGCTAACTTTCAACCGTGATAACGAGCCGGTAATTCATTAATTTTAAGGGTATGAAAAGCTTTTGCAGCTCTGTAATTAGTGTAGCAATGCGTTATTGGTTCCATTGACCTATCCAGCATAAAGTTCATGAAAAAATGGACTGAAACAGTGATCGATGAGGTAAGAGACAGTAAGAAAGAAATTGTAAAGGTTTTCTTCTTATTTCTGTAACACGTTTTCATTCTAATTCACGTCTTTCTTTGAGGTGATCATTGGGACCGATGCCTCACTGACTATTGGTTTTCTCTTTCTAGTGGCTTAATTCACCCAAAATTCTTTTTTAGATGGCCACATTGTTTCCTTAGGTTCATGTATGAAGCACAGTTTGTAAATAAGAGATTGGTACGGACAAGACCGTGCAATGTAAATCATCACCGGATATTTGATTGAAATAATCGTGTTCATGTCACCGTCAAAATTGGCGTCAAATCCTCGGCACTCATTAGCACGAACTTACAATGTGATTTTGTCGCTTTCCTCGATCTTTCTGAAAATTCAACAACAGATATCCCATTAGCAAAGCTATTGCCGACCTCAAAAATCTTAGACCTTTAAAAGAGGTCTTCCTAATGGCAGAAAAATAACTGCATTCAATAGCATTAATGGAATAAGCTCAAGTTAATTAATCCGCACCATATTTTTGGTATTGAAAATGTAATTAAAGCACATTCCATATTAAGAGGCCTTTTGCTTATTAAAAAATTCTGAAGAAATTGAGATTGAATCATTGAAGAAAATATTCGACATAGACATTGGAAAGGCGGAATCATTGATCTTTTATCTTCAACCATTCTTAACCAACTAGGTCGTTTAAAAAATATACCTCCTGCTCTTTGAATCCAGCGGGGCCAAAACTTGATCGCCGTCTGGGTCACGGAGAAATATATTAGCTCTTTTCTCCACTTTCTTCCGATAAAGTTCCATTTCAGCTATTATTTTAAAGTTGGAGGCACAAAATCTTAGGGTCACCAAATTAAATGAACTAATGAACCAGACTCAGTTGGTAGAAGATGAAAGTGTAGTTGGCAGATAGCAACTGCGATCAACAGTTCCAAAATGTAGAACACGATGAGCTATTTAGGCTAATGTGAATGGAATAGACCATAAAGAGAGATTGAAGGAGAGCAGGTGGGAGCGTACCGACTCAGTAGAATTACGAAGATGCTTGGGTAAGGACGTGGATGAGGATACTTTTAATGAAACGCGACAGGTATAGAAAAATCTTAGCTGTCAAGACGGTTGTTTAGGTACAACAGAGAGGAGTTTTAATGAATTTAATATAAACAGTCGAAAAATGGGTGTGCGATAGATTTACCTCCACGTGGTGCACACTGGTCAACATGTAAACATACGGCAAAAAAGACTATAGACTGAGAGTTGACCTCTGGCTTCAAACTATCAATGCCCCATACTGGCAGTTGCTTTCTGACTTCAAACTACCATCACCCCACCGTAAACCGGCAGTTGACTTCTGACTTCAAACTACTATGGTCCGACTATAGTTGACCTCTGGCTTCAAACTATCAATGCCCCATCTATGTCATATTCGACCCCTTCCACAGTACTCACCTCACCTTTTCCCTGCCTTTGTGCCTGTCTCTCTTTTACATCTGGGAATCACTCTTTTGTCGACGGCAAACACTACGTTTTCAATAAATTCGTCACAGGAATGCAGCCTCTATCCCAATCCACATACTTCAGCTTCCACCTTGTTGCATAGAGATGGCATGGTTAGACGATTAGATTATAGACAATGTAGATTTAGTAAAGTTCGTTGATTTCATCTGTCGGATAGGGGACTACAATGGCAAAAACTATTTGGAATTTCAAAAATTGCTTTTTCCAAAGGAGTAAGATGTAAACTGTTATGGTAATAGTGTCCAATGGGTACTTTTATTCATTTAAGTAGGGTTTGTTTTGTACAATCGTTTTGACTTTTTCTTTTCAAATAGAAACATTTATTTATTTATATCAAATGGCAGGCGTTTTGGTGGTTATCATTAGCCCTTTAGTTGACTTTAAGCTTCACAGAGGGGAAGGAACATCAAAGTGAAAAAGATTCGAGAGGGGGGGGGGGAACAGAAGAGTGGTTCACAGATGAAAAAGAGACAAGCAGACACAATGGTAGAAAAAAGGTGAGGTGAGTAGTCGAATATAACATACAGTGGGGTGATGGTAGTTTGAAGTCAGAAATCAACTGCCAGTTTATAGACTTTTTTTGCCGCATGAGTATACGTTGCCCAGGGTGTACCACGTGGAGGTAAGTCTATCGCACACCCCAGAACCATTTATTAAACTTGATAGAATGTCGCATGGATCACATTTGAACACCAACAACCTTCTCGTGTTACCTTAAACTGTAGCCAATTAAGAATCGCTACTTAATGAGAACATGAGGATCATAATTCGACAACACAATAAACTGGTTTAATAGTAGCTTAACATTAAAGTTCATTTGAGTGAATTCGCGTTAGTTCTGCTATTTAAAACAGCAACATGAGTTAAGCTGAATTTGCTGAAAAGCAGGAGTTAAGAATAAGGGTAGGTGAGTGGAAGAAGTGAAAGGCTAGCAAAACCCGAAAAGACAAAACACGAGAATTGGGTCGTCACAACCAGTCTTGTAATGGATGCGTATCGAATTTTGCAGAGTTTACTTAATCAATTCAACCGAAATCTGTGCAAATCGCTGGCCATGTTCCTTTGCGAGCAGCTCAATTAAAAGCAAAGACATAACCATGACTTTTCACCAAAGCGTCTTTAATTGTTGGTAATCAAAAGTATTTTCGAGAAATGCTTAAGGGGGACAAGCTTACACATTAATTAACCGGCAGGGGTATTATTTCCACCGATTTGAAACTCTTACACGCTTCAAACTTGTGAAAAAAACTTTTATTGAGTCGGACACGAGTTTGCCTTTCCTGCCAATAGGTTAAATACCTGTGAACCGGGGGTGTGTGTGATAGACTTACCTTCATGTGGTGCACCCTGGGCAACATATACTCATGCACCAAAAAAGTCTATTAACCGGGAGTTGAGTTCTGACCTCAAACTACCATGACCTCACTGTATGTGGTCATATTCGACTACTTCCACAGTACTCACCTCTCTTTTTTCTCTGCCGTTGCGTCTGCCTGTCTCTTTTACATCTTTGAATCTCTCTTCTGCTCCTCCTCTCGAATTTTTCCCACTTTTTTGCTCTTCCCCTCTGTGAATCCCAAAGTCAGCTAAAGTGCTAATGATAATTATCAAAACGCCTGCCATTTTATATAAATAGATAAATTAATACCTGCAAATCCAACATTATTTAGCACACAGTGCTTGATTCATAGTAGACATTTCAGCCCACATAAACTTAACCCCGCCCTTATTGCAAAAAAATTTGAACAAAAATTATTGGACAAAATCCTTTTCCTTCTTCTCTTTCTTTCGAAGGTTAGACATGCAGGGTAAATCCAGCTAGCTAGCCAGTGGGAAGGGGGAGTCGGCATAGTGACAAGCGGTACTGACAGTTTGACACTTGGGGGGTGGGGGTGGGGGGGGGGTGAGATTGGCTGAGCCAAAACAAAAAAATTGACAATTGTTCCATAGAGTGAGGGAGAAAAAACACGGATAATGGGAGCAAATACATGCAAACTCTCTTATGGCTTACCTCCTATTTTTTGCGCCAATTATCGACTGCAACCTCTATTTTAGAATTTAGGTGAAATGGCACTTATTCGACTATTCATCCCATTGTGAATTTATGCTTTTTTTATTGATTTCAAATGCTTGCTTACGAACCAAAAAAAACGATCCTTGACATATTTCATCTTATTCGTAGTAATCAAATTCATTTGAATTAATTAATAAATAAATAATCGAAGGTAAGACATTGACACATTTATTTATTTATATCTAAAGGCAGGTGTTTCGATGATTATCATTAGCCCTTTAGTTGACTTCAGGTTTCACAGAG